CAACAATTAGTACCTTAAGTACATTAGTACCTCTCTGRACACTACTTTATTACTAAGGGTGCAACCATACAGAAAATTCATGATTCGGTTCAGGTCGATACTTTAGTSTCATGGTTCAATATTTTYTGATRCAAATAACCGAAATGTCCATGCCCTTTTTAACTTGTAATTTATTGAAATTATTTATGAACATTTGTTTAACCTCAAAAGTACAGTTTTTAAATTAAATGTTGCTGAAACAGCAAGTTTCTCAGTGGATCTGRGCTCAAAAWTRCAGCCTAGGTGGAGTAGTCGAACACAGATCCACTGATCCTTCAACACAGAGCATCTTCAGAAGACAAGTTGATAAAATAARTTTWTAAAATCTGTATTGTTCGATACAAGTGTGAACCTAAAGCTCCGTATTGAACRGTTCGAWATGGGTACATTTATTGTTGCACCCCTATYCATTACATATGTCTGCAAGACAACTGCAAAAAATACTGAACTCAGTGTTTGCAACAAGCGAACCATGTAGCTGCATGTTGAATGTCCAGTTTTAGAAAACTGTTGTTGTCCACCTCTGCAGCTGCCTCCACAATAATGATTATAGACAGCTCTGAACCATTTTAACTAAATATTTATTACTGGTGTGGTTTTGACATGCTCTCTATCAGTGGAGACCATGCAGGTGTCAAAACACAGATCTGATTTAATGAGTCGAGGATGTCGACGACTCTGTGAGCAACTCTCAGGGCAAATTTGTTGATGAGCAAACTGAGACCCCAGGGATTAGATACTATCTTTATGACATCAGTTATAAAGAACAGGTAAAAGTCTTCATCCAGGCCAGGCTAACAGCTAAACAAGGGCCTTTAAAAAAACAATATGCCAATGAGAGACAAGTCCAGCTGATATCAAACCTCTCCACTTTTACAGGACAGTTTGTTACATTTGTAGTTTACTCAAATGTTTGTGTGCTGAGCTTACAGACCAGGACCCCACTGTGGGTCATAAAACCCTTAGGGGGTTTTAGAAAATCACCACAAATCACATTAACTATAAAACAGATTAAGTGTTAACTGTTACAGCAACAATCATTTGATAAAGACAATATAATGGTTGATTTGTATCTGTCAGGCTCTACAGTTTGTAGTTTGTTGGTCAAAAAATAAAAAAAATAAAACAATTTGGGATCCACAGATACAGATCGGGCAGAATTAGCACTGTTACTTCACAGCGAGAAGGTTGCAGGTTTGTCTCCCAGCCTGCGTCCTTTCTGGGTGGAATTTATGTGGTTATTTTCCTCCAGATACTCTGGTTACCTCCCCTASATCAAAAACATGACTGTCACTTTGACTGATGACTTTAAATTGTCCCYATAGRTGAGAGTAGCTGYGTTTCCACTGACCATGAAAATGCGCAAATTAGAATTTCGAAAATAAATTTGCTCAATGGAAACACGTCAATTTCGAAAAAAAATTAAGTTTTTCGACAAAATGTTTTTGCGCTAGGATGAGGTGGTTTTTCGGCCCTATCAAAATTGGTGTTTTTCACAAAACTGCAATGGAAACACTTTTTTCACATCACAGGAGTCACGTGATCAACAACCAGCTGTTTCTACTGGTGAAAAAGACGATGATGAAGAAGATAACAGGAAGTAGAAGTAGTAGTAATATCACAGAAGTAGTATAAAATAGTAAACTCACCGACTACAATTTCCCAAAAACACAGCATACGTAGCCGCTCCCAAGTAGGGACTTGTCTCTGGAAAGCCTCGATAAAAGACGCCGACGTCTCCTCTGATGATGAGCGCTAGTGTCGTGGTAGCAACATGCTATGTGTTTACATCCATCGCTGCCATGTTTGTAATGACTTATCATGAGAACAAACGTATTCACGTGACTTTAATAACATTTATTACTTAATGGAAACACTGCAGTTGTGAAACTGTGTTTTTCGACATTAACAGAATATCGGCAAAGTTTTGCGCATATTTGCAATGGAAACACAGCTAGTGAGAGGGTGAATGGTTGTTTGTCTCATTTGTCTCTGTGATGGTCTGGAGACCCGTCCAGCACCTTCCACACTGTGACAGCTGGAGACATCAGCTCCCCCACAGTCCAGAAAAGAAGAAGCTAGTAAAGAAAATGATGGTTGGATGATTTGGACCGTTGAGGTCTGTCCACTGGGAGCTGAGTAAACTCTGGCTCTGACCTGCCAGGCGCTCTGCACCGTCAGCAGAAACATGGTCAGCTCAGCACACAAGCACAATTCTTTCCCTCTGGTGAACCATTGTAGAGGAAGAGTTGTTGTTAAGACTGAAAATAATAAAAAAAAAGCCCTCATTTGGATAATCACCAGCAGAGCCTGAAGTCTTTAGCCTTTCTCGCCTGATAACTTCACCTAACTGACGGACAGAACATTACYTGTAAAACCAGCAGATTATCCCTTTAACTTGCTGTGTAGGTTAGATACAGCCTGTTACTTCAACACAGTATAAAGATGGGAACACAGTTGGGAAAGTTTGTGTCAAACCTGAAGTAGATTTCTTCATGTTGTTCCCATAATGAGCTGTTGTGGAGCGACAGTATACAGGCCCGTTAAAATGGGATGAATGTACATAATTGCGTTTGAACCCAGCTCCCTCAGCCTTGGGCCAAATGTAATTAAAACCTCTTAAAATTTAGTCACAGAAATCATTTTCTCATTATCAAGCTCAGTCTCTGGAAGCGGCACATCACCGCCTGTTTAACTGGGAAATTACTCGCTTTTAATTATGTCGTTGGAAACAACGAGGCTTAGGTTTGTGTTGTTGTTAATGTGCCATTATATGCTATGTACATCACTGTGCTGCTTAATTGAAACGTCCCCTTGATGCACGAGTGATTCCCTCCAAAGTGCCTCATTCATTCACAGTATGCTTGTAAACATTATCTGCTCTATTTAAACCCAGTGTTCTCAGCATTTTATATGTTCACTGAATCCAGTCAGATATTTGAGTTGTTTTGTAGTGTAAAAAGTGTGTGTAATCCTTTGAGCCATAGATTTGATTTGTTTTTCTTTCGTGTTTTTTTTTTTTTGTTTTCAGGAAGGTTGAAATGTTGAGAACAAACTGCAACAAGTGAAGAAGATTAGAGCAGCTAATAGAAGAGTGCTGTCCTTCCAGAACTGGTGCTGATCCACATGCACTCAGCAGTCACTTGGTTAGGTCCACCTGTTCACACTCAACTTGTCTAGGCTTCAGGACGTGGAGACACTCAAACGGAGAATCAGAACAAGGAAAARCAAGAATTTAAATGACTTTAAATGTGACGTGATTGTTGGTATCTCAGGAACTGTCTACTGGGGGTTTGCAGAGAATGCTCCGACAGAAAGAAAGTATCCAGTGAGTGGTGGTTGTGCGTCCAGGATCAGAGGAGTTCGTTCATGGGAGACAGAAAGTAGTAGCTCAGAAAAGCCCCTCGTTACAAACAAAACAGAACATCTCTGAGCTCATCGCACAGCCAWCMTTAAAGCAGATGAGCTACACTTTCTGTCAGCTCAGAACAGGAAGCTGAGGCTACAGTTTACACAGTTTGGGCCGATGAGGCTGGTTGTGCAGGAAAATCCCACCARCTCAGCAGTTTCTGAAGCACTCTGACCAACAAGCTCCAAGTCGTTTACAGTAAATCACTTTTCATCCCTGTTTTCATGCTCAGTTTGAACTCCAGCAGCTCATCTTCAGCTTGTAGTAGAAGTAGAGACAAAGCCACGAAGGAGGAGCGCCCCCTCCCAGTGGCTGGTTACAGTCCCGCTCCTTCATGTAAACTAATAAACCAACTAAAAGTACAGATCAGTGTTTTAAGGTGTTGTTTTTTTTAGTTTGTACAAAATAGGATTAGTAGGTGGGACTTTACAAATGAGGGCACTCCTCAGTATCCTAATAAATATCTTGGCTGTGTTCAAGTTCAGGGGCTGGTCCTTCGAAGGACCCGGCCTACTTAGTAGGTGGGCCGGGTCCTTGGTTGACCACAAAGACTGGAAGAAAGTGGCTGTAAATATGGACAGTCTAGTCTTCTCTTTATTCCCGCCCTCACCCCAGCACATGTTCTGTCACCTATGTTAGTATTATTAATTTAATAAAAYAATAAAATTAGCTTAAAGGCAATGTTTGAAGAACTAAGTGCACCTTTATTTCTCTATACCAGCTTGTTTGATTTCTGACGACAATTATATTAAATCATGTCTATACAAATCACAAAAGCATTAGCAACACAACCGCTTGAAAGTTGTAATTTTTTTACCGCCAGAATTGATCTAAAACGGTACTCCTTTCTCTCGCTTCACCCGCCTCGACGAGCAGGAATACAAACTCCGGTCGGCCCATCATGCGTTAGGGGATGTGGTGGGCCGAGAAAAATGCATCGTACCCGTCCGTCACATCRCGGATAAAGGAGGACGCATTTGTTGGACGCATCAGAGGAGTCTTTGAATTTGGACAGGCTCCGGCRCGAYGCTGTGATGTACGCGGCTGACAAGTTCGGCCTTCGGAGGACRCAGCCCCTGAGTTTGGACACAGCCCAGGGCTTCAGTTTTAAAGAACAGGAAGTAGAGACATTTTATCCATATGTATTAATGCTGACTAATCAATGTACTGAGCTGCTGCTGTGTGATTGGTTGACTGGCTATTAGCAACTGAACTAACACATTCTCACTCCCGACTCGTCAACTTATTGAYGCTTTTCCAAAGTTCCCTCTGCGTCTTATTTTGACATGTCGGGTGACCCCCTCGCGTCAGTCATTGCCGCCCGCGGCTTTTCCGGGTTGCGCCACCAGGGGTCTTTGGGTCGGGGGTCTGAGGTTAACATGAGGGATCAGGATAAACGGTTAAGTTTAGGTACTGGGGTCAGGGACAGGATGTCTACGGCGAATATTAGGTAATTTTAGGCTTTGGAACACGTGGTTGACATGAATTTCCTACATTTTCTAAAAATGGTTAATTTTAGGTACTAGGGTCAGGGACAGGATGTCTAAAGTGAATAAAGGTAATTTTAGGCTTTGGGACGGTAGTTTTTGTGCATTTTCTACACTTTCWGAAATTATGACAACAGATCCTGCCCCATCTCGTTAAAAAATGATGCGAGGGGGGTACCTGATGCGTCAAAATCGGACGCAGAGGGAACCTTGGAAGAGCGTCAATATGTGACGACCTGGGAGTGAGAACGGGTTGGCTGAACAGGTGAACCTAACAGAGCCACAGGTGAGTGTCTGCTGAAGATCTGGATCAGTACAGGATGTGTGTTGATGTGCAGGTTGAATTTACACCCCCCATCCCCAAARCCTCAGTTAGACAGTGTGTCCAGTCCCAGAGAGGCGGCGTGCTGCTTGGCCCTCAGACGCAGGTTTTCRATGCTGGTGGTCTTGCTGTTGGGACTGGCGAGCCCCCCTGCAGCAGACGCCTGCAGCAGCGGGCTGCTCCACACCTGCTGGGCATGGTGGGACAGCGACTGGTAGTAGGACTGGCAAGGCAGAGAGCCCAGCGGAGCGGGGGGCATGTTRACATTCATCCCCAGGTAGGGCAGGGAAGACGGGGCGGTGAGGTCAAACGCTGGGTAGGGCACCAGGCTGTTGGTGGCCGCCATGTGTTGGCGGAACTGTTCCTGCAGACGAAACAGGCTGAGAGGAGAGGAGGAGTAGGAGTGGCTCTGTGAGAGGGGGCCGGTGGTCAGGCTGCTGCTGCTGGAGGACGAGGGCGTCCCGGAGGGAGAAACCAAGGGAGAATCTGCAAATAGAAGAGATTCTGTTTGGTAATAAWGCACCCGCTTCGGATGTTATCATCCAGGAAATGGACGTTATTAGGCGTTATCAGTCCCCTAGAATGGCTTCAGCAGGTTCCCCGTCCCATAGAATGGCTTCTGATTGTCAGCTGGTTAATATGAGGCATAAAACCACTATCTGGTTAATATGAGGCATAAAACCACTATCTGGTTAATATGAGGCCTAAAAATACTGGTTAATATGAGGCATAAAAATACTGGTTAATATGAGGCTTAAAGCCACCAAGGTTAACTTTAGAGCAAATGACATGGTTAGCGCTAAAGACACCGCCCTCCAATGGTTGCATAATGAAGCCTTCCAATAGGGCAATGGGTAGAGTGCTGGACCAGACAGCGGGAGACCAGGATTCGAGACRGACACAAATAATTTATTACAATATCTTTTGGTTATTAACTTATTCATTGTCATTGACCCACTAGGGGGCACTGTCGGGACAGCCTGAAGCCTAGAAGGCACAGTAGGGACCCTCTGAAGCCATTGTATGGGACTGACAAYGCCTAATAAAGTCCATTTCATTGACTGATAACATCAGAATCCCCTGTAATAATGCCATGGATCAGTTATCAGCAGCTACTCAAAACTGAGGGTCGTGTTTGTACTTGTGTCTGTTAGCTAAATATCTTGTGAACCACTGGACAAAGATGGCAGCCAGAACAGATCAACTTTAGCTACATGATGTGAGAATCATCTACAGCAGCTCTGAGACGTCTCATGATGAGATCTGAGTCAAATCTGAGTTTTTTTTCTGTTCAGACCTGGTTTGGGGCTGAGTCTTCTGCAGGGTGGGGCTGGGGACGTGTCTCCAGGCGTCAGCAGCGCTCGCTCCATCTCCTCCCTGCTACATTTGCTCTCGTCCTCCTTATCGGTCACGTTGTCCTCTGTTGCCGAGTCGCTGCCAGAATGTTCTGCCGAGGTCACGTTCAGCTCCATGTCCACAGGTACGGGACGGACCGCCAGACACTCCGTCTCCACGGAGGAGGACGAAGGAGGGAGCAGGGCGTCAGGAAGGACGGTGCCCTCCTTCTCACTCCCTCCTTCTCCTGATGCCTCCTTCTGCTTCTGAAGCTGCTCCTTCTGGAGGCTGCGCTGCTTCTTACGGAACTTTGCTCTTCGGTTTTTAAACCAAACCTACAGACAAAAGCCCAACTCAGTACAGACACTTGCTTTAGTAGAAAAGGCTTTAATTTCAACATTTTTATTACTGCTTCTCGTTACAACAGATCTTATTATACAAACTGCAGTCAGCTGTGTCTGACTGAAACCACATGTAGTTAAAACTGAGTCATTAAAAGTCCGAGTTCAAACGTCTGACAAAATATCAGAACATTAGAGACTAACTTATCATTTTTATAAAACCTAAACAGCTCTGTTCCTGTCAGAACGTGTCAGTTTAAAACATGGAGGTAAAAGATGATGTTCAAACCTTCAAAAAAGGCTTCATTTTTTTCTGTAAATTTTTTTAACAAGCTAATTTAAAAAAACAATGTCCAAGTTTTGTATTATCTGGCAGATTTTATT